TAATAAATTATTTTCAATGTTAAAATGAAAGTTATAAAATTTTATCACAAACATTTATTTAAGGTAGTATTTAAAAGATTTCACTCAATGAATAAAGATAATTATTGAGATAAGAAATCATTGTTTGCCGGTTCTAATAAATATTTACTTTTTTGAATTTTTGGAAAATTTTCTATACTTTAAGAAAATAAAATTAATAATATATAAGAGCAAAACAATTAATGGCCTTACTTTTTCTTCTTCTTTTTACTTCTGGTCTTAAAAAAATCTATCTTACTTTCTATATAGAAAAAAGAATTATTAAATTTTACCCGATCTTAGGTTGTTAAACACATAAAATGGATAAAAAAAATACATTAATTAATTTCTGTTTAATTTTGTATTATATTTTAAAAAAATATTTATAATACATATATTTCAATATACTTCATAGACTATCTTCAGTGTACCTGTACTACGGAGTAGACTGAAAAATCAGTATTATAAATATTTTTTTAAAATATAATAAAAAATTATTAAATATGTTATTTTTTATTTTTATGGGTTAAATAAACACCATGAGCCCAGTGAAAATCACAAAACTTATTGATCGTTTTAACAAATAATTATTAGAATAAAAAATAATATTCTATATAAACTTATATGATTCCATATATATTATATTCTATATATTTAAGTGAAGTATTGAGCCTACCACACAATTGTTTGTTATTATAGTATATTACTGTCAAATATATATTACTAAATTATTTATACTATTAACTTCTATATTATTTTAAGTGGAATATAAATATGATTAGAACTATGCACTGATAGAATGAATATGAATAGCAAAGGAGAAAAACTCTTTTCGGTTCAGAAATAGAAGAACTGAAGAAACGACTCAGTAACCATTTCTTAGTCCGTAGTAACTGAATTATTAAACTCTAATACTAAAGAGATTTCTCAAGTAAATGAAAATAAATACCTAAGTAAGTTTTTACCATTAAAAAATTATTATTAAATATAAACTAATTACTTGGCAGTAATAATTACCACTAAATTGTATTAATTTAATAATATTATATTATATTATATATGTAGTATATATTTTCTTGCAAAAATGCTGACTTTAAACATTAATTATTGGTAATAAATAATTTTTAACCTAAATTTAAAAAAAGAGAGATACAAGATAAGTTAACTCAATTGGATTGATCATTTTAACTTAGTAAGTCTTCGCTGTAACCTATTATTTAAATATAATGTTATATACAAGTTTTAGTATGGAATAAAAAAAAATTAAGAATAGGTGGCACTTTTTCGATGACTATATAAATAATATAATATATAATAATATAATATATAAATAATAGTTTATTACATATATTTGTAACGATTTAAAAAAAGAGATGCAAGAGGAAGAAAGTAATGGAAGAGATGTATAAATTAACCTGCTCCATTTAAACATTTAACCTTACCAAGTATTTGCACCACTATTTTAATTTGCATTTATATAAAAATTTTATTAAAAAATAAAAAATTTTAAAGAAAGTTTTTTACACTTATTAATCAATATTAATTGATTAGAAAATAAATAAAATATATAAAATATACAGTAGGTGTAACCGAAGTGCGTCAAAGTTTAAATAACTAATAAAAAATATTGTTTTTTTAATATAAACGTTTATATGGATTATAGCATATCAAAAGGAAATATTAATTAAATCTGTCAGACTGCCAGATATAATAATATGTTAATCGGAATTTATTTTATTGTATTAAAATGCAATAAAACCTTAATACCTTATGAATTAATACTAATACAAAAACATATTTAAAAATGAAAAAATTATTTATAGAGACATCAAAAACAATCCCACGTAAACAGTCGAAGGTGCTTTAAATACTTGAGAAAATATATTTCTATCTATCTATCTATATGAATATATCTTTTTCGTTACTATCAAACGACATGTTGAATATTTTTAAGTTTGAATTATTACTTAATATACACATTTTTCAATACATCATTTAGAGGAATACATTGCCATTATCATTGAAAGTTCAAACATGAATTATTTGAAATGAAGATTTTAATGAGAAAAGATACCAATAGCGTTAGTAGGTATCTGTGAGATACTGCCGTAAGTAATTGCCTTGTGAAAGTATATTGAACAATAACTACGAAACAAAAAAACATGTTCTAAGATAACTTATACAAATAAACAACATAGACTTAAATATACAAAACTAAGTAACTAAAAGATGCTTTGAAATACGTTTAAAGTTCATATCTCTGCATTGTTTTATGTATCTGAAGCAAGCCAACAAATTAGATTGGTAAACAACGAAACATTTGCATTAAATGAGTTACAATAACAGCGATTGCGCCAAATGGTAAAATAGTGAGACTCAAAGTGTTTTGTGAATAAGAGTGAATTGATGAGTTAGTGAGTTGGTGAGTTGGTGAGTAGAACTTGTGTTATTTCGAAAAACATGCGTTATTTGAAAACCTGTCAAATGCCGGTCTAACAACCTTATTTCACTATTTCAAGAACTTTTGAAAGCACAAACAAAAACGTGTATGTCAATCGAGCCCCTTTTTGAATGCCGCTCACGGTCGCAACCGAAAAGTATCTCACGTGTGTGAGTTTCTATTTCTCTGAGTATTTGCTCAGATACTCACCGCCATTAGTCGCTAAAATTGCAGAAACGAAGCTAACAGCAAAAAGCCCACTGCCCACTGCTAACAGCGAAAGCTAACGCCATCGACGGCTCTGCCGATAAGAAGTATTGCTTTACTTCAGATACAGATACTTTACATGCGGATTTTGCTGTTAGTTGCTTTCAGTCTTTCGTTTCTGTTGAATTGTGGAAAATACGCGGTGCGCTTAAGACGCGTGTGCAACTCTGAATAAAAATATTTTATTAAAATTTAGTATTTATAAATTATTGTATATACTGAATTTACGGGCAGGGCAGTTAATGCTTTTGTGTTATTTTATTTAAAAAAATTTTCTGCAAAAAGATTTCATATATTTTGGCGCGAAATTATTGCCTTCGCAGCTGCCTGCCTGCTATTGTTCAGGCCGGATTTTGGCAATTCTCAGAACGAAAGGTATCTTTTGTTAGTTACTTAAACGTGTGATGTACTTAAAATTAAAAATTAAACGAAGGGTTAAATTATTTGTGTTTTATTCTTACTTCATGCATGAAACTAACACGGCTCTGAGTTCTTCAAAGCTTTTGAATATTCAAACCCAAAAAAATAAAAATGGATTATAAGACATGTGTTACTTAAAAAGAGAAAATAAATAAATGTGTTTGAATTTATTTTATTTAACTAAATATTTGTTATATGTAAACAATTATATATATATATTTTTTGTGTATTTTTAAATTCTCTATGAAAATGTGTATAATTATTTTCTTACGAAACATAAGGTCAATTAAAGTAAACAAAAATATTTTAAAAATACAAATAGATTTTTTAACACTTTTATATATAATTTTTTGCACATTAATGCTAAATAAAAAAATTTATATAGTATTATATTTAAAAAATTAATATCTTAATTAACAAATTCATAGAAGTGCTTGGTTAAAATTTTATGACTCAATTATAACTTTCTTACTTCAATGGTGTCTATATAAAAGTGCTAATAATTTAATAGATAAAATAATTTTATTTTTTCAAAAAAATTTTTTTTTCTTCTTTCTTAAACTATACGAGATATATATATTTCCAATATTTACACTTATTTCATTTTTATAGTTAAATAATTTTTAATTTAACGTCAAATTTTTCAGACGGAAGTGATTATTATAACCGAAAACCTCTTTATAGTTAAATAAAATCATTCAATAATTATATGTCTATTATTGATATTTTTCTATTAATATTATTTATGTAAACTTTTTATTGTGCAAAAAAGACGTAAAACGTCTGGTTTTAAAACAAATACAAATATTTAAAAAAAATTCTGTTATACGAGTATTAATTTTTTAGAAATTAAAGCAGTTTATCGGTTCTATTTTATATAAATATTGTTCTATTTTAAATAGAACCAATAAACTTTATGTTTAATTTTATAAAAGAATATAAATACTTTAATTTCTAAAGAATTAGTGTAATAGCATTTTTGAAATCCAATGTTTTGCGGTTTTATGTGCAATATACATTATAACCCTGATAAGGTGACCAAAAATGTTTCAAAAAATCGGGCTTTAAAATAAAATACAAATAATAAATAAAATAAAATTTTAATAAAAATTGAGTTCTTTTAAATTTTAATGTTTAACATAATAAAGTACCTATAAAGTTTTATCAAACTAGATATAAGTTTTATATCGGTTCTATTTTAACTATTTGTAAAAATAAACTAAAATATTTAAAATATCAATAAAAAAGTATCAACAATAGATACGTAATTATTGAATAAAATTATTTTTTTACAAAAATGCATATAATAAGAATGAATATTGAAGGTATACTACTTGTAAATATCTCAAATTGTTGAAGAAGTCACATAAGCTTACTGATATAAAGTACTAGACTTAACAAATATAATAGAACGAATTATATTTCCGAAATAAAAATTAAATAAAAATATTGTTCATTATTATTTTAAATATTTTTTTTTAAATTAATTACCTTAGCTGCAACTTATAGTTTAAACTTAATTTTCAGTATATAATTTATTTTATTAGATTAATACCTGCATATTTGTGATCATACTACTAATTTCATTTTATTTCTATTGACATAATAATCAAAAAAATTATACTCAACCAGAATGTAGTAGATCAGAAATTCGTCATATGATCATATAACACCTCGATTCATTTTTAAAAATCAAAACTTATTGCTCAGATTCAATCAGATAATGTGAATAGAGTATGTTTGCAATTTTAATCGCTTCATAAATAAAACTTCTGCTTTATTGAAATGATTGACATTTCATCATTAATGTAGAAAAATATGATATATATGATATAAAATATTATATGTCATTATTATGTAGTTATGGGATGAAAGTAGAAACAGACGGATTTCGTTGCTGTAATAAATAATGAAGTAAAATGAACATTTTTTTTTCATAAATTACTAATTATCATTTATTAAATATTTTTTACATATAAATTTTAAAACTTCAAATTAAACGTTGGAAAAGTGGTTTGCTCTCGGATACTATAAAAATTTGCGCCACTACTGATTCGAACTTACAATAGATAGTTTTTTTTTAATATCAATAATAGTTACATATGTAGTAATGTATCTAACACATAAATTCAGAGAAAAAAAATATATGTAATACAAAGATTTACATTTGCGGTTACAATATACATCGTACAATTAAAACTTTAATTACTTTTGTACAATAAGTGATAAAACAATACAGTAACTGACATTAATAGTTAAAAAGTAACTTTTCAATATATAATTGATACTTGTATATAAAATTTAGAAAAATAACAGTCCAAAAAGATACAATATTAAAAACCAGTATAATTTAAAATAATAAAACAAATAATAATTATTAGTGATTTATATTAGAAATAACTCAAACTGAGTAATTTAGAAATTCACAATAATAAATATAACATAAATAATGCACAATTGTAAGATATATGTTATATTTTTGTTAAAAGAAGGGATCGTGCACTGCGACCTAAAAGATCTCTTATGCCTCTTAGTCGGGTTAGAGTATTTCTCCAAGTCCGGTTTCTTTAATGAAAGACAGTATAGAGCTTATCTTTTCTAGTCTTGAATCTGTATGATCCAGAAACACCTTCCTAGGTGTTTCTTCCACATCAGTGCCGGGTAAAAAAAAAAATAAGATATAATATAATAATTAAAATAATAAAAATAATATTTATAATATAAAGCTGTTAATATAATATACAATATAAAATACAATAGAATTTTGTTCACTTAGTACAAATATAAATATTATAAATATTATTAATACTCATAGTATTGATACATATCAATTAAAAATACAATGTATATATATATACATTAAATACTTGCATATTAAAAAAATTACTATTATTTATATTAATTTTAACATTTACATAAAAATCGCGATAAAACCAGAAAAACATTAAGCACATACCTATTGTACATATTGTACATGCTCATGTTATATGTAAAGATGTATATAGATGTTTGATTAATCACATTATAATATGCATTCAACTTTTATAAGTAGAATTAAAACTCTAAAAATAGAAACTTTTTTATCTATCCAAACATAAATTATTACTACTATTGTAAAATATTCTTAACTTAACAATTAAATAGAAACTTTATGCATTCAAATGGATAAGACGTTATGTTTACATATTAATAATTATTCTAAAGAAATTCATCAATAAAAAATTTTCCTTATTAACACTAAAAAAAATATACATATATAAATAAACCAAAAATCAATATTCGTTGTAGATACATTAAAATAATTAGGCTAAAACACCTGCCTAACGTTAATCTATAGAAATAAATCTATTCAAATGAATTTATGAAAATAGATTAAAACTCTTTTTTTATTTTTTGTATATTGTATATTGTATAGTAAAACTATTATTATTATTATATTATGCACATTGTGATTCCTTCAGTTAATAATAGATTGTTTGCTTTAATGATAAGTCATACATAGTTACTATGAAATATATATGAATAGCGTAAAGCCATAAAAAACTAAGCTTTCATAACATTTTTGTTTATGTTTTATTAAATTAATACTTATTACTGTTAATATATATAGATATAACAGTAATAATAAATCTACTAACAATACTATTGTTATTAAAAGCTTAGTATATCAAAACGATTCGAAACTCGGCGGACACACCGGCAAGATTTCTATGTTATATATTAATAGTATTAATGATCATATAAACAGTAGTTATGTGTTTTAATACCCCAATATTTTTAAATAATAATAATACGCATTCTTGATTAATATTAATAAAGACCATAAATTTTAATTTTATTTAAGATACCATTTTTAAGTCTGCATCTACACAGACTACACAGAGTTTTTGGAAAGATTTTTGTATCAGTCTCACTTTTTCACTAACCATAAAAATTGTTATTTACAATTTACAACTACGACAGTTTTTGACAGCTACACATCTCTAAATGAGATGTCGTCGCAGTTCAATATTTCTCTAATTTGTATTCCCAGTCATAGAGATATTTACGGCAATTGCAAAGCAGATAAGCTAGCCAGTCGTGGTGCTTCAGGAAACCACTCGGAACACCTAAATAATCTGGGCATATCGTTGACATCAAGTAAATTGGTATTGAGTTCTTCCTGTGCTGAAATTTTCAATAAAAGATGGGAAAAATTTACGATTTGCAGGCATCTGTATGCAATTTGGTCACATACCAATAGAACAAAATCGAAGTCTCTAATAGAGATGCCCCGTAAAGATATTAGTCTTGCACTAGGTTTTTTAACAGATCATTGTATTCTAGGTAACCATGCTAGAAGACTAAATATCCCTTTTAACCATATCTCTCACCTGTATTGTTTCTATTCGGCACATGTGCGGCGCCACGTTAATTTTAAGGGCTTTCTTTTTTTACGATATTGGCGAACTTCAAGACCTTCTTTTAAATAGCATCATAAGCTTTGCCAAAGGTTCTAGATGGTTTTAATCCTTGAGTTTTAAATAATACTGTAGCACAATGGGCCTATAGACCTAAGTGGATCTCACTGAGATCGCCGGTATAACCTCACCATACCTGTTTACAGATAAAATACGAAAACAATTAAAGTCTTGTCAAAGTCTTGTCAGTGCAGTCAGTGCTTTCTGATAATATCTATCATTTAATTTTACAGTTCAAGTAAGAGTCTTTATTTTGTTTATGAAAAAAATACACTAAAATGTTTAGTTAATATCATTATGTTTCTTAAAATTTTCCCTGTACTTGGTCGTCTAAAGTACCTATACTCATACATTTTTATAATTTAATAAATTCCTTGTGTTTTACCTCCAATTTAGATGTTCAGAAGAGATTAGTATTTACGTATTTTTTAGAATCTGTTAAGTAAGATTATTAGTTTCATTATCATATTATATATATATAATAAACATAAAGTA